TCTGGCTTAGACTCTCCCCCTGCTTTGCCTTCAAAGCAGTACAAAACTTTATGTTCTCATCCCTTGTTTTTGTCCCTAAACAGAATTTCCCATTCTCAAACTTTCAGGAGATGGAGGACGAGGCTGTGAGGAAGAGGAAGATGCCCCGGGACACCCAGGTTGGTGAGGAGGAAGTCAGTGCCCCCTTTCCCCCTCTCTCCTGCTCCATCTCCCAGCACAGCATGGCCCCCAGCTGCAGAACAAAACCGCTGCCAACGCCGTCTAGTTGGGGATGCACTGGGGGCAACTCCTTCCCCTTCCCTGTGTCACAGAGGCAAATCCCATCCTCTCCTTGTCCTTCCTCCCCCAGACAAGAATCTGAGGATGGAGACCAGGGAGGACAAATCCCCGTGGCAGAACCTCGAGGAGGAGGCTGTGTTGCGCAGCTCCATGGAGAAGGAATCCAATGGGGAAGAAAAGACACAGAGATCCTACAGGAGGAGAGGCTCTAAATGCACCCCCGGGTGCTCTGAGGGGGAAAGACCCACCCTGTGCCAGGAAGATGGAGAGGGCTTCAGCCAGGGCTTGGAGATGGTGGTCCAGGAGCAGCTTCATGATGGGGAGAAGCCCTACAAGTGCTTGGAGTGTGGGAAGAGCTTCAGGAGGAGCAACACCCTGATCAGCCACCAGATGATCCACACTGGGGAGTGGGCCTATGATTGTGGGAAGTGTGGGAGGGGCTTCAGCTGCAGCTCAGAACTTGTCGGACACCAACGCATCCACAGTGGTGAGAGGCCCTGTGAGTGTCCCCAGTATTGGAAGAGGTTTCACAGCAGCTCCAGTCTCCTCCTTCATGAGCGGACTCACATACAGGAGAGGCCCTTCCGCTGCCCGGACTCCGGGAAGGGCTTCAACCGCAACTCCAATCTCATCACCCACCAGCGTATCCACACTGGGGAGAGGCCCTACGAGTGTCCCCAGTGTGGGAAGAACTTCACCCAGAGCTCTCATTTGACCAAACACCAACAGAGTCACCAGTGAGGGAAGCCCTGCAATTGCCCCAACTGCAGGAAGACTTTCTTGCACTGCTCCAACTTTGTCTCCCATGGGAGAACCCATGTTGGCAAGAACCCTGGTGATCCATGTCCATGTGATCCATGCTGGGAAGACACCTGTCCCTTTTCCTGCTTCTGCCAATGACATGATGGGAGACGGAAGATCATGAGGGTCTGACCAGGGCTGTGTCATTACAATCTCTCCCACCTCAGGTCATTCCATGGGCATGAAAGGGAATCTCCCTCTCCCCTGAGGAGGAGGGTGTTCTTTCCAGGCAGGAGGAAGTACATGGCCAGGGAGAGCCAGTTGCTCTTGTTGTAGTTTTCCCTATGAATCTTTTTTCTTATCCCTTCTGTTACCAGTATTGTTTCTGTTCCTGTTTCTTCTTTATTTCATTGCTGTTCCCAATAAATTGTTCTTACACAATCCGAGGATCTTTACCTTTCATGTTTTCCTTGGGAGGACAGATTTAATGTTAAGGGACAGCACCACAAAGTTCTATGGCAAGAGTCACTCTGCTCCTGACTGGACACTTCAGGCACACCAGGGAAACAAAGAAACAACAAAACCAAAAAAACCTCCAAACGATCAAACCTGAAATGAACCGAAATCTGTCCCTTTGTGCGTGTGTGTGACACAAGGACAGTGA